AAGTATTATACGTTAGTGGAAGTAATAATTGGGAATATTGCAATACCTGTTGTATATTTTTATGACCATTCCATTTTTTTATGACCATTTTCATTCAAGACGCTTCGGGAAAGTCGTCTTCAAGTTCCACCGGAAAATCTTCTTCGAGATCAGCTCCTGAAGCTCCTAAAGAAACTGTGGTCCCACCAACCAGAAAGTCGGTGGACAATGAAGAAGCTCACGTTGAATTGAAAAAGGAAGATCGTTCCACGAACAATTCCCCAAAGGACGATAGATCTGAGGCAAGTTCCCATAAAAAAACCCTAAAATTCACAGATAAATGATAATTTTAGTATTCAATTCTTAGCGTTTTGGCAAGAATGTAATCTGTACCAACAAACGTTCAAAATCAGTTTTTCTTAATTTTTTGTTTTCAGGAGGCTGGATGCGGTGAGGGTACCGTGGATGCTCAGGTGGTCGGTGGCAGTGAGACAACCGCGGATGATCAGGAGGCCGTTGACAGTGGAACGGTGGATGCCCAGGACGTTAATCTTCTTGGAGCTACTGAAGTGATGCACCCAACAGCAGAAAGGCCAGCAACAACGGTAATAATTAATTCGCTCAAAATTCTATCAAAATATTTACCGTATTTCTTCTGGGGGTATTTTAAAAATCTTTAAAAAAATTGAAAAAAAAACAAGAACTAAATGCACGTGTAGGAATGACACTTTTCGAAAGAAAATTTCTTAGCGAAGGGTAGAACAAGCCCTTTCAATAGTGAATGTTTGTCAAATGCGCTATTCGACCTTTCCTCCTTTTTACTGTAGGTCTACAGTATCCTTTGTATTCTCTCCCCTCCATTCTATCCAATTGCCAAATGCTATGTGTACACGCACTGTGCGTGGAGAAATCACCGTAATTTTTGGAAATCTCCTCTTTTTTCAAATTTCAAAGAAACTAGCACAATTCTAGTAATACACGTTTTCTCACTAATGATTGCAGGTCACCATTGTCGAGAAGAAAAAGAAGGGGAAGAACACAGAAAAGGTCGAAGAGGAGGCTGGAGAAGAGGAGAAAAAAGAAGATGAGAAAGAAAAGATTGGAGAGGAATCCGAGCGGCCAATCCGAGAAGCCAAGGAGAAGGCCAAGAGAATCCAGGTTCAAATTAATGTAATTCTTTTATACAATTTTATCAGTATATTTTAGGCGGCCGCAACATACCTAAAAGAAAAGAAGGAAGAGAAAGAGAAAAAGAAGAAGGAGGCGGTGATGGCGGCGGAGAGACATCGTCGCAAGATGGCCAGAAAGCTCCCGAAAGGGTCCATGGTAAGAATTTGAAAAAATTTGGAAGTAAACTAATTACAAGAAAAAACCGAAGTTTGTCTGAACACATTTCTAACTTCAAGAGAATTTAAAAATCCATTTAAAAAAACATTTTCGGTTTCGTAAAATAATTTTTGAAGGCTGGTATGTCTATTATAAATCAAATAAAAATTTGGGTTACATTCTCTACACTTAAATTTGTCGAAAAAAACCCCAAATTCTAGAACAGCGAACTTGAATTACCGTAAAACCTCTAATAGAACGACACCCGGAACGTCCACTTTGAGCCTATATATCTCACTTCTTTTGAAAGGTATCAAAAAGTGGTTAACTAGTAAAATGTTTATCAGGATATCAGCAACATTTTATTAGTTAGCCACTTTTTGATATCTTTTGCAGAAAATGAGATATATAGGCTCAAAGTGGACGATCCGGGTGTCGTTCTATTAGAGGTTTTACGGTATATGTACATTAACGTTTCAGCAACGGTGTACTGACATCATCGGATCCATTCTTCCACTGATGGAGAAAACGGCGAAAGAGAGAAAAGCCGCATTGAAGAGAACGTTGGGTTCTACAGCGGGAAGCTCATGGCCTCTTCAGAAAAATATGAAAATGGAATAGAACATGTAGATCAATTTCTGTTAAATGTTCTCTCACATTTTTGTTCTCTTCCACTTCTTTTTTGTTCTCTCAATGTCGGCAAGTTCAATATTTACTTTTGAATGATTCGACCCTCATTAGAATTCAAAAACTTCTTTTTTTTTGAATTGTTTCACTCCTCTCTCCTCACTCACCTTTCTTTGTTTCCTTTTTTGTTTCGCTTAACGAACGCCGGCTCACTTCTTTTTTTGTTCTCATTTTTCTACTTGTTCCATTTGTTCACTTCTTCAAAATTGCCTCTCTCATAATTTTCTGTTTTATATGATCTCCTTGGTCAGATCTTTTAATTCACGATTTTCGAAATTTTTGTTTTATATTTCCGATTCCTTCAAAACTTTCATTCCCGACTCAAAATTTGTTCGATATTCTGTTATGAAAGCGACTCAAAATTTTTTCGATATTCTGTTATGTGTGTGATGGTGTGTAGGGAAAAGGGGGAGGGGGGGGGGGGGGGGGTGATCACTGTTTTGTTGAGGGGACAACCGCTCAGGCAGATGGTGCACCCGCACTTGGTTATTACGTATGCGTGGTGGTACGGTGATTGGCAAATGTTTCCACAAGAAGGCGTCCCTAGAAGGCGAGACCTCGCGGAATCCTTTTGACTCTGTGCCGACCATGTGTCGGAAAGGAGGGTTAAGGAGTTTTCGAATGTATGTAACCATCTGTAGCAGCACAAAGATCTTTTTTGTTATGCAACATAAGAAATCGATAGAATATAGAGAATAAAAATTTGTGCAGGGGTTTGGGTAGTTATTTAAAGCAAAATGATGATTTCTGTGAATTTTCAAGCAGCTAATCGGGCGTCTTCGAGAATCTATGACTAACAACGGGGTGTCTATGCACAGTCCCCGTTAATGAGATACAACATAATGTATTTTTCAGTTGCATTTTATGTGTTTTGACCATTTCCAGAAGTCTGACGTTCGGCTGTCGAGTTTTCCTTAACTTTGAATGTTTTGCAGGGTGTAAAACATATCTAGATTAAAACTGTGCTTTTACAGAATTTTTGGAAGATGTTTAGTTTTCCTACGCTCTACATTCTACGCAATTTTAACGAGGTCGTAGCCTGTTTTTCGTGTTTTTTGAGAGTTTTTTATTTTTTTTCTGTTTGTTTAATTGTGTCGAAAACGGTAATAGTGAGATAATAAGGTTCTTTACCCGTCAATTTTCACTAATATATTGTTTAGGTGAAATCTTGAAGAAAAATGGCTGATGCTATCAATAAAGCAGCGTTGAAGGAGTTTGGAGAAGAAATTCTTGTCAAGGTAGCGGAACTAATCAGTGTAGGAGTGGATCAGAGGAAGAAAGAGAAAGAAGTGGAAGAGGAGACGCCGCCAAAAGTTTCGTCAAAAGGGATCCAGAAGAACATCGATTTTAATTTCAAAATAAAGAATGTTTTGAGTAAAGCGATGGCAGCCGATGATCTGGAGAATGGAGTGAAAGAGGTTCTGGAGTTAATCAAGTCTCGAAACGGAGAATTGTTGTTGCTGGACTCGGATCCGAATTTCCTTATTAATCTACCTTATTAATTGAACGTAAAACCTATGTATAATGAACTTGTAATATCAAAACCCTCTTTCAAAGTGATGAAACAGAAAAACATATTCTCTTGGAGCGTAGAGGAAAGAGAATGTATTTTTCAGTTGCATTGTATGTGTTTTGACCATTTCCAGAAGTCTGACGTTCGGCTGTCGAGTTTTCCTTAACTTTGAATGTTTTGCAGGGTGTAAAACATATCTAGATTAAAACTGTGCTTTTACAGAATTTTTGGAAGATGTTTAGTTTTCCTGTTTTTTGTCAATTTCTGAGAGACACCTGTTTTTTCACGGTTTCCGTATAAAAATTGGGCAAAAAAGGGTGTAGCTCAAAAATCGGAAAAAAATCTGAAAATAAGGAGTTTCCAGAAATATCTGTGAATGCGAAGTTTTCCATCTAGGACTGTTTCACACTCTCCAAACCTTTCAAAGTAATTGGCAACTTGACAGCCAAGCTCCAGACTCCTGAAATTTTTTTAGCGCTGAAAAAATGGCTTGAAAATGCGAAATTTTTAAAAAATCGAATTTCCTATCAAACCGTGTACCGAACACTTTCCATTCTTTCCATTTTTTCGAAACTACTGTAGAAGAAGGTTACAGTGCCTGCCCTTCTATCCCTGGTCCCACTAACCCCGCCCCATTTATGGACGGTATTGTCTTCCCCCTCACTCTTGCGCAAGAGTTTGAGCAAGACGTGCACCATAGGAACACACCCAAAAAGGTGACATCCTTAACACGACGCTGCTACTTAATTTGCAATGCTCTTCTTCTATCTGCGTCCTGATATAGTACAGTCTTTTTAGACGGGTATACTTTATATGCCTCTGCTCTCTCTCTATTTACGTTCTCCCTATTTGCACTTTCTCATTTGAACACCGTTTTTTCGAATTTCTTCGCGCCTTTTCTTTTTTAATTGACTTATCTGACGGTTCATATTTCCATTTCTCCCGTAAAACCTGTGATAGAACCCTCGCCCCTTCACTCTTCACTTCGAGCTCCATTGTCTCGGTTTCTGTGAAAGATATAGAATTATTTTCAACTTATAATTGTTTTATTATGATATTACCGATTTTTTATCAGTTGACACATTTTTGATATCTTGTCTATGAAATGAGATAACTAAGCTCAAAAGACACGTTGTGGGGCCCCTTCTACTACAGGTTTTACTGTATCTCAGATTTTTCTCAAAATAGTCTTTTCAACTCTAAAAATTTCAAACAGTTATTCAATTACTCGGAAAACCGGTAGCGTGCAGTTCATTTTTTCATAACTTCGATTCATTATTTTCATTTTGTTTACCATTTCTTGCGCACTGTACCTCCTGTCCGCTGGTCTGATCCTCCCTCACAGTTCATAGGCAAGGCGTATTATGGTCACGCAAGCAGGGGTATCGTCGTATTCATAACCGAGTGAGAAAACATTTGTACAAAGATCCCTTTAACTTTTGACAATCATATTCATCATAGACTTCCAAAAGTCAAGTGATTTATTTTGCGAAAAGAAAACTGAGTGTGAATATGTACCGTCCATAAGGCAAATGAAATTATATTTTTTCCATGGATTTTGGATTATTTTCACCGTTTTCAGCGTTTGTTGCTTGCTTGTCGAATTTCCGACAACTTTGAAAATTTTGGAAAGTGCAAAACAGGCGGACAAATTTGTCCTCGATTGAAAACTTCGAGACCCATATTCCTGAAAACAGTTAAAATCGACTGAAAAACTTGATTTTGTAGTTATTTTTGATCGGTATTATATGCCCCAAAACCAAGGCAACGTTCTACAGTACTGTCCAAAAAGAATGCGTCGACACTGTCGACTCGACAAGTATTTTGACTGTAACTATCTTCGAAATAGAGCTAAAGTGTTACACTTTTTTGCAAAACGTAGCAAATGAATCGCGAAAAATTGTTTTTAAAGATTTTTGCCCAGAAAACGGAAAACAATTACTTGGCTCATTTTTTGAAAATTTTCAGTTTTTCGGAGGTTTTTTTTTCAAAAATCTGGAAAAAAACGAAAACGACGGCGAATGATTTTTTTAAAATCATAAACAACATTCGTTTTACACATTCATAATTGTCAGATTTTGGAAGGAAAAAATTCGAAAATTTCCAAAAAGTGAATAAAGTTGTTTTCTGTTTTCTGGGTAAAATGTTTTAGAATATTTTTTCTAGTGTTGTTTGCTACATTTTACAAAAAAAAGTTTGACACTATAGCTCTATTTCGAAGGAATTTACAGTCAAAAACCCTGTCGACGAATTTTTTTTGGCCAGTACCGTATTTGTTGATTCTTAGACTTTCAAAATTTTCAAAATTTTTAGAGGTTAAACCTTAGTCCCAAAAAACCCAAAGGTTTTCAATGACTCTCCAAAACTTCATGTTTAGTATTAAAAATAAGTCAAAGCCTGGAACACAACTTTCCTTTATATGGGTTTTCTTCATTCCCTTCCGATTTCACCATCACTGATTCAGAAGTTTTAGTAAAATTTTTTTGTCTCACAATCCAAAAAATTCAAATCTTGCCAGCCCACACAAAACCACTTATGTTTTTGTTGGTCATGCGACAGTGTTGCAAAACATTCATATTTTTCCGAGAAAAAAAGAAAACATTTTCGGAGGTCAAATTCCAAATATGAAAAATTTTGAAATAACACAAAAAAGAGGTGGACCGGAACTACTCTGGTGCTCCAAAAACTACTGTCTGCTCCGTATCCATTTGCTTCTCACCTCTCACTTATGATAATACCTCTAATAGGTATGTATAATTTAAAAAAGTCATGTGTAGTACTTCCTATTATCCGTGTCAAGAATAAAGGAGACGTCTGGTGATGTAACCCAATACAAACCTGTTGGTGTCTGTTCCTTTCTGTGACCAGTTGTCACCTTATGAAATAAACACTTTTGTGGATGAGCCGTATTTAAACTAGGCAGGAAAGAAGGAAAAAACAGCAGTACTACCTGGTGGTCCAGTTATCGGATTGATAATACAATCCGTTAATTATCAAAATGTTGACATTCGTTTGACCTCATTTGATTAAATTTTTAAACTTTTTGAATATTCACTTTCCGAATTTTTCGTTTCTCAGAAACTATTACTTTATTGCATTTCCGAAACCAAAAATTTTCGAATAAGTACATTTTTGAAAATTCGAAACTCTGAAAAAAATCGAAGTTTAGGAATTCTTTCAAATTACTTTATTATTAGCTCATAGTTCGGAATTTTTAATTCTCCGATATTTGAGTGTCTTACAAGGGAATATTTTTGAAAGGTCCTTCGAGAATTCTCTGAAAATTTCAGTACTCATAGTTTAAGACAGCCTCTTCACGGTGTCAGAAAATCTAGCTTCAGGATTCACCAGGAAGCTGAAAACTTCATCTGAAAATTTGGAGCTGAAAACTTCATCTGAAAACATTATCCTATATTTAAAAAAACGAACATTTTGGCCTCTGAAAATTGCTTAATTTTCATTTTTTGAGGCGGGGTATTTTAAAATCGATCACATGCAAGATTTGAGCCGAATTTTACAGGTTCCAGTTAATTTCAAGCAATATTTGAGAAGTTAAGGATTGTAAAAGTTTTATCATCAATCAAACTCTGAAGATTTTGAGATCCCAAAGACGAAATTGGGGTGTCAAATTTTGTGAAAATGCTATTTTTATCATTTCTCAATAACTAGAACGGTTTATAGAAAAACTTTCCAAAAAAAAATTTTGAAAATGTCAACAAAACTATTTCAGAAGATAAAATATTTTAAAAATTAGGTTTTGCACTCGAGATCGTTCTCACAAACGAGTTTTAAACCTCGAAACACTGAAAACACTTTGAAAGCCCATATTTCGATTCCTATCGGATCCGGAGATTAGATATTGCTGAATCCGTTTTCAGCATGTTTGAAACACTTTTGTACAAATTTTCAGCGAATTCTCAAAGAACCTTTCAAAAACGTTCCCTTGTTAGAATTTCGTTTTTTTCCTATACTTCAGAATTTCCTAATGTGTAAAAATTTACAAGTTGTTATATTTTGAATTCCGAATTTCCCAAAATTATCCAATTCTCAACTTTAACCATTCTTTTAAAAATCCAAGTTTCCTAAATTTTCAACGGCTAACATAAGTTTCCGATTTTCTGAATGTTTATGCTTCTGAATACTCCATCTTCAAAATACCCCGAAGTTCTATGTGTTCTAAACGTTATTTGGAAAAATAGCAAATTTTTCTGAAATTTCAATTTTTTGGAATTTCAAACGTCCGTACTTTTTCGACTTTAGACTATTAATGAAACTCAATGTCGAGTTTCTACCTCAACATTCGCAATACTTTTAAATTACCAATTGATTGAATTTTGTTGAAAATGGCAGTTTTGATACTTCGAATGTTCTGAATGTGTTTCTTATGTAATTCCTTTTAAGTCCTTTAATATTTTTCTTCACACTTGTCGTTTTTTCAATTAAACAGTGATTCTTTCACCAAATCACTTATCCAGATTGAGTTTTTACAGATATCATCTCGTGTATTCGTTACTCAACTCAATTCGATATGGAAGACGTTTCTAACACCCTCGCTAAACGCTCTCAACAGCCAGGAGATCTTGAAAAAGAATTTCCAAACGATGCGAAAAGATCAAAGAGCCAAGAGGATCCGGCCATTTCCATTGAAGTAAGTTGAATTTTTATTTGGTTTGAAAAATGCCATGATATTAGTTTTGAGTGTGCACGGGTTCTATCCAGTAGAATAAATTTATTAATTCGCTTCATACAGTTCAATAGACATGAATCCGTGTAGCTAAATTAACAAGTCGTATGTATAAACTTATTGTGAATCACAGGACGCGAGGAAGGAGGAACTTCGTTCCGATGCCCAAATTGTCAGGAACATGGAATGGGACACTTCTGGCTGTGCCCATAAACTCGTCTCAAAATGGGAGGTTGGTTATGCTAAAAAGAATACTTTTTCTTTATACATTTTGAATGAAACTAAGAAAACTTGTCATTTTGCAGGCTGGAGAAGAAGGTCAAGAAGAATTGAGAAATCTTCGCCAAAAACTGGAGGACTTCATCAAGATCATTGATGACAAACAAAGGAGGATGCAAGAACACCTGAAGAAAGTGGATAAAGTTCAAAAACAGGACAAAGACCTTTCGGTATGTTTCGAAATTTTTATCAGTGAAAAGGTTTTCAACTCTTCTCAGCAGTTCGAATAATTAAAAAATAATGCTGCTGTAGTTTTGGAAGGGTAGATTAGTGCATATAGTAGTTCACCTTTTGTTTAATGTATTAAAAACAAAAGTGCTAAAGTTTTACTTGTCATTGAGTCAAAACAAGTTTGAAAATAATTCAAAAAACTTAGTGTACATTACATTCTCAAAAAAAAACAATTTCAGAATGAGGAGAACCAACCAGTCCAGGAGCCAGCTGCCAACAACGACATCCCGGCGGAAAAGATCACTCTGGTATGTAACTAATTTCGATTCAATGAACAGATTTGCAACTGGTGTAGACTTTCAATTCTGCATTTCTTTTAACAGTCATTTGTCTTTCATTTCAGGCCAACAGTGACACTGTCAGAGAACTTACGGACACCATCCATGAGGACGTCGTTTTGGATATGTCTGCCAAGAAGCCCGAAATTCCATGCCTGGACAAAAAAGTCGTTGCTTCGTCAAGTTCGCAGGTATGAAAATGTTTGTAGTATTCAGCATTAAAATTAAAACGTTTTTGACATAAATCATGAATTACGGTAGGAATCCTAGGAAATTCTTAAACACTATCTAATTTCGAGATACATATTATAAACAATTCGGGGGTACAAGGGGTACAAAGTGATTTAGGTGTACAAAATCCACACGTAAGGGAAACAAAACTCGGAATTTATAATGGCGCGTCCAAAGTGCCCAAAATCTGGAATTTCTGGGCCCAGAAAACAGTCCAAAGTGACGCCCAGATTCCCAAGATTTCCAATTGGGCAAAATTTGAACCAGTGCGACAATTTAATTTTTCATTGCATCAAAATGTGCAGAAGAGCATGTAGATTCACATAAAAATAAAATAAAAATTGAAAAAATTCCTTCATTGAGAAAAGCGGTATCGAAAAATGACGTTTTTTCGGATAAGAGCCCTGGCGTTTTTCTCAATGAAGGAATTTTTCCTATTTTTTCTATTTTTTTTCACTTTGGACTGCTTTCTGAACCCAGAAATTCCAGATTTGAGCACGCCATAAAGTATGTTGTACCCCCGAATGGAGGATTTTGTACCACCAAAATGCTTCGTACACCTATGATCCCAAAATTTTTGCACCCTCCGAATTGTTTGCCAAAAACGTGTTTTTCCATCGATTTTCGGTCATTTAGATCACTTTTAGAAGTGGTCTAATTTTAGAAGTGGTCTTTTAGAATAGCTCGGCTATCAAGATTCCGATCTCTTTTAGTTAGTGACAGATAGTTTCAAGAATTCCTAGTGTTTCAGATATTTGCTGATTTCTGAAAGACACTTTTATTTTCCGTTTTCAGTACGAAAACAGGTCGAAAAGTTTCAGAAATCAGCAAATATTTGGAAAACGAAGAATTTTCAGAAAACTATCTGAATACAAAGTTTTCAATCTAGGTTTCCTTTCAAACCTCCAAAGTTTTCAAAGTTATCGAAAACTTTACAGCCGAGTTCCAAGCTCCAGAAACTGGTCAAAATGGTCGGAAGTTATTTGGAAATGAATTATTTTTTGTAACTCTTATTGACCGGTGCTGCATGCTCAGCGAATAATCAAGTTTCAACAAAATTACCGAAATTTCGTAGTTTCAGTGAATTAGGTCTTAGGCCAAGGGGCTAGGATCATAATATTTTAAGAAGTGCAAGCAGCTCAATTAAATGTTCATGGAAAAAAGGATTTTTCTCTTTTATTCGTAAAAAAATAGCTATCATAACACAATGGAGAACGAAAAAATTAGTCTTTATTTCAGAAGAACGGGAAGAACAAGAAGAACGAGGACACTCGTGATGCCACCGAGACGGCCGCAGTCGATTCTGAACACCAGACTGAGCAGCCTGAAGATCTTCGTCTGGCCACAAAAATTATCACAGAGCCAGAAACTTCAAGTGCACAGGTGAAAACACTTTTCTATAATCAGCAATTCGAAAAAGTTTCGGAAATTCCATAAATATCTTTCAAAGAAACCTCAACACCTTGAAAACCTCAATTTTGATGAAAGTTTCAGGATAGGTGAAGAATATCTTATCTCAAACCATCTGAAAATTTTTGAATTCACTAGCCAGTTTCAGTCAGTGTCCATATCAAAAATCGTTTTGTTATCCAATTTCTAGGACGTTTCAGATCATTAAGTTTGTTGTGTTACAGTTAGAATTAAACAAACTTTAATATTTCATACGTTTTCTCAACAAAAAAAAAATGGAGAACGCAATTTTTGAAATGAAAATGATAGAATTCGGCTGAATTGAACGAGCAGAGTATAAAATTTCTCAGAAGTGCCTAAATTTGATATTCTAACCTATCCTGAAGCTTTCATCAATATCGGAGTTTACATTTACAAAGTGTTAAGGTTCCCTTGTTAATGCGCTTCCTTCAATGAAATTCAACATTTCCAATTTTTGCGATAGTCACCGTTAAATAGTAGAAAATGTTGAAAATTAGAAAGTTGAACTGGAAAAAGTGTGTCTTGAGTTGGCCGAAAAAATATTACAATTTTTGAAATTCTTTAAAATGAGATCAAAACTCGCTCAGCTATTTTCGGGTTACTGCTGTTAAAATTTTTGAAGCAATTAAATTGTTGAATCACTAACAAAAAAGTTGGAAGATAATCAGTTTCCTTAAATAATATTTAGGAAGAAAAAAGAGTTTGACTCACATATTTGGAAAAGAGAATTTTTGCAGAAGGTGCACACAGACAACAGAAGATGCTACAAGTGCAGGGAAGGGATGCGACTCTACGGACAAACAGTATTCCAATGCATGGGCTACGCTTGCGAAGTTAAAATCATAGCAAAAGAATATTATTATCACTATGAAAAGGGAGCACTGCCAGTGAAAGTATGCGAAACATGTTACAGAAGCGGAAAAACATGTAACAAAAGAAAGGACAAATTTGTCCTTAAACAGAACGACCGACAGCCAGTACCGTTTTACGAATGCCGCTGTGGCCGAGTCGCGCACAAGTACTGCACTCACCCGGAGGACAACGTGGCCACCTTCCAGTGCGACCACTGTACAAAAGAAGTGAAGGCGTTGCCATCCACTGCCGATCTTCCAAAAAACGAGTTGACTAAAAATCTGGAAGAGGAACTGTTGAGACGTATGAGACGATTCGATGAAAATGCCATGTTCACTGTTAGTCAACAGTGTTATAAGGAAAATATGTATATGAACATCGACCAGCTTCCCGCCAAAATCAAGGAGAACTTTACGACCGTCAAGAAGGTGAAGTATGCTGTGAGAACAATTTCTGTTTCTCAAAAAATTGAAGATGTTGACTGTTGCATCGTTCAGTGGATTATACACGAAACAACGTCAGCGGACAAGAATGGCCGAAAATGGACCTTCCCTCAATATCTCGACAGCCTTCGTGTCTTCGAGGAGTCTGACGATGGAAATGGAAAGCCGGTGAAAGATCCAAGGAACAAAGGCGGGGTTGTGGCTGCTATAATTTTGGAAGAATACTTCAATTTTATGAAATCGTTCGGGTACACAAGAGGCTTCTTGTTGGCACAAGTTCCAAAGCCTGGCACGGAGTACCTTTTCTTTATGAGGCCATCGTGGCAGGAGAAGGTGCAACTCACCCAAGAGAATCTGTTGGGGTGGTACAACAAAACGTTTGGGGAAATGAAGAAAAACGGATCCATCATAGGATACGAAGTTCTTCCATCGAGCAACGTCCCATCGACTAACGATTCACCGACCAGCGTGGACCAAACGAGAGCTGACAAGGAGCCAAACAACTATTTGATTCAAATAACGGAAGACGGAGGAAACAGACAGATGAATGGGACCGACATTTTCAGTCCAATGTCCGTAGAGATTGCAAGTTCTCAGGACGCGTTCTATGACAATTTGTTCGATCACAGTTTGGAGTTTTCTTCGCTCCGTTGGATTCGGTACTCTACCGCCGTGCTTACGTTGAACGTTAAAAATGCCGTTGCTGACGATAAAAAGAAACGCGAGGCATCAATTCTAAAAAAAATGAAAGAAAATGCAAAGAAAGCGGCAAAGAAGTCTAAGCGCTCGAAAGTTCAAGAATCGCAAGGAGCCGAAAATCAATTGGAATAAAATGCAAAAAAGGTAGGTAATTATTTTAATCTTTTTAAGATTCTATTCTAGATTGTTTCTTTTAAAGGTGGGAGGACAGGAGATTTTTCGTAGTTTTTTTGTAGCTAGAGTATGCATTCTACCGTCACGGTGTACAACGGTTAATGTCACTCTGCGTACAGCTGTCGTCCTCGCCTTTATGTATGCAATCGGGCGTGCGCTTTCTCTTTGCCCGCGTGGCTCAGTCGGTAGCGGCGCCGCACCCTCAATCATCGCCCCCACAAGTTCAACTCCTCGAGGAGCATCTTTGAACGGAATTTCGAGAACATTATTTTTTTCATGTCCCCCCACCTTTAAGATTTTTTTTCTACACTAGTAGATTTCTAGATTTTACAGATTTTTAGGTTTTTGAACCCCGATTGATCAGATCATTTTAATTTTGAAAAGTGTCAGAAAAAATCAGGATAGCATCAAGAAAAGCTTGCATTGTCTGTTATTTTTGTTGTGAACTAATAATTTTGAACAAAAAAAAATTTCTGCTTTCAGATCCTCAAGCCCCACTGCCAACATATCTTCCGGTTTTGCGACTCCAATTTCTTCACTGCTCTGCTACTTCATTAACCACATTTTCTCCCAAAGTCACGTTCTCCGACTTCATCAATCCAGTGGCCTCTAACTCCATTCTTGTTCGATTTCTCAAATTTTTTGAATCACAATGCAAGAATCCATTGTTTCCAAAAAAACCACAATTATTTTTATTAACTTTTTTGTTTCTAGAGGTCTAATTGTTTTTCTCATTGAACTGATGCGTAATTTTTAAAATGTTCTTTTACCGTAAAACCTGTATTAGAAGGGCCCCTCTAATAGAAGGGTTCTCCGAGAGGGGTTTGGAAAAATTGAAGGGCCCCCGTAATAGAAGGGCCATCCGGAAGTATCTTGGAACAATAGAAGGGTCGGCCCTTCTAATACAGGTTTTACGGTATATATTTATTTTGTTCTAATATTTTTTTACAGGAAATTGTTGTGTATTTTTTGTTATATGTTGATTTTCTTGTTTTTTGCTTTGAATGTAGAATATGTATTTATTTTTACTGAAATAAATTTAATACCGGTTGAATTTTTTAACTTTTCAGATTTTCCCAGTCTTCCAAATTGGGAAAACAATAGCAAACAATTTTTTGCGGTACTGTAGCCCAATTGTTTGAGAGCGCAACGTTTCAAGGATTATTGGGATTAAGACGTTTTTTCAAACCTAGTCCAACTTCTTGAAATAGCTAAACACCGAAATTCCTGAGATATTGAGCGATCATGTAGATATATGAGATCATCCATGTTTTTGGTGTGCAGTGCTTCTGGCGATAAGGTTAATCTCGTTATTCATTTTATCATTTTCAACACAATTGTGATATTCATTACAATACGTGACACTTTCCACAAAGTTTATGATACGTAAGAAGGATGAGATATGAGCAGGATTGAATGAGCGAAAAATTCATCACAATCTGTTCTTATCTCCTGGATGAAGCTTATGGTGCCAGGCAAGGGCTGGTACGGATTCAGTTTCTAGTAAACATTGGGTACAAAGAACAGGGATGAAGCAGTGATATCAGAGAATGAGCGAAGAATTTCTCAAAATCTGTTTTTATCGGATAACACATCTGGATAATGCTTATGTGTGACACATTTTTCAAGATTTGTTGGCAAATCTGAAAGGATAAAACATGTCAGGATTGAAAGAGCGAAGATTTCTTGAAATCTGTATTTCCTAAACAGGTATTATTGAAATAATCGGGTCACCATGAAATTTCGGGTGGAGCGTACCTAGCTGGTTACTGTACTCTACAAATATAAACCCATAATCCTGGAAAATGCAGTTTTGTCTACAAAATTGTAATTTGAAAAAAAACCCATTTTTTGCCAAATATAAAGCTCTAGGAGAAAGCCATCTGAGTGTTTTACCAAATGTTTCATGTTTCAATGAAAATGTTGCATTTTGAATTATCCATGATATTTAATTTATTCAATTTATTAGATCATCAAAATTTAATTTATTCGATTTTCGGTTTGCAGGGCTTCGTATGATAATGTTTATCTTGTTATTCAGTTTTTATCTGTTTCAATAGTTATTTGTTACAATAGGTGATTCATAGAAGGGCCGGATTAAATGAGCAACGAATTTCTCAAAATCTGTTTTTATCGCATAAAACTTCTGGATAAAGTTCATGGGTTACACATTCTTTAAAATTTGCTGACAAATAGGAAGGATAAGAAATGCCAGGATCCAATGAGAAAAGGTTTCTTGAAATTTGTATTTTCCAGATTACATGCAAGATTGAAACTAGGGTGTATCTATGAAATTTCAGGTGATGCCCTTAACTTGTCAGTGTACTCTACAAATATAAGAGTTTCGGAAACTTCTTCCTTACAAAAGAATTATTTTTTAGACAAATGACTCAAAAATCGAATAATTTTTCAGAGCAATATAAATAGCCCAGAGAAAATTCGATAGCCCAGAGAATTCAGTTTCGCGTGTTTTGAGAAAATGGTAATTTGAGAAAAAAGCTTAGAAATTATCCAGAGACTGCGAATTGTTTTAACCTGTAACATTCTTTTTAAAGTTTGAAAAATCTTTTTTCCATATTCAAAGCTCAAGGAGGGAGACGTTTCAATGGATTTTTGTTTTTTGATTTATCCTCGATACTTGTAATATATTTGAGCAAGGATAAAAGGTGCATTTAATGTCATTTTGTGCACTTTTTCGTTTTTATTTTGATTTAATAAACCCCATTCAAGTTGAATCAAATTATTACGGTTCCTCCGAAAGTTATTAAGACGTGAACAACTAATAAAATGTCAACTGTTATATCAAAATAATTTTGATAATTAACTACTTTTTGATTTATCCCACAGCAACCAAGATAAATAGAACCAAAGATAATGATAAAGAGTATTACTATCATTGTCAAAGTAAAAACCCTGGCACTAGAGAATTTGGAAAAAAACTGGTTTTGATCTACGAAAACGCGCGGCAAAATCGAAATACTCCAGGTTTTTGGATCGCTTGGGTAAACTAGCAATAAGATTGGTTTCTTCGTTGAAAAACAGATTCTAGAGATGCCAGCGTTCATTTTCATACCGAATAACCTAAATTGTTCACAGAAATCAATTTCGTTTGAAGCGGTACCGGATTTAGGAGCGGAACCTTGTAAATCTCCAGTGCTGCCCGCGAAATTTTCAGGTGTAAGATTTTTTATTAATTCGACAATACAGGTACTCTGAAATTATTGCAAATTCAATCAGCCGGCTAAAAATACACCAATTTCTGATTGCAATTGAACGATCGTGTAGATGTATGAGATCATCCATGTTTTCGGTGTGCAGGGCTTTTGGAGATCTTTCTACTTAATGTTAATATTGTTATTCAATTTTTCTCCGTTTCAATAGAATTGTGATATTCATTACAATACGTGACACTTTCCACAAAGTTTATGATACGTAAGAAGGATGAGATATGAGCAGGATTGAATGAGCGAAAAATTCATCACAATCTGTTCTTATCTCCTGGATGAAGCTTATGGTGCCAGGCAAGGACTGGTGCGGATTCAGTTTCTAGTAAACATTGGGTACAAAGAACAGGGATGAAGCAGTGATATCAGATGGGCGGTTCTGTAGCGCCGTCTACCAAGCCTTGGACAGGACCGCAGTATTTGGTGGTGGCGACCGTCACCCGTCTCATATCCCTAAAATCGTCAACATGACCAAGGGAAACGACTGTGTCCTCGAGGTGAGTATGAAATATTAAGCCGTTGTTTAACTGAATTCATTTGCTTTGATAAATTCGAAATTTTGTTTTCAGCACGTCGACAACTCGAAATTTGGATACCCTTCTTCTGATATGTGGAACTGTTATTGCTTTTCCGACATGTGCAATTATCCCTTCACCTTCAAGGAATTCGAGCGCCGTGGCCACACTCTCAAGCCAACGTTTGCCATGGGATCCGATTGAGTGTTCCCCGGCCCCTGGCAACAACTTTCTGTAAATTCTCCACGTTTTCTAATTTCTCTATTAGTTCTTGTACGACTCAAATTTTCTCTCCTTTTTGATTGTACTCAATTTCCCCTTTTCTCACTTCATTCACAGAAGTTTGATGAATAAAAACTTGTTAATAACCAGTGTTCATGTCATAAAGTTTTTCAGGCACTAAAAAAAAAGAAGAGTTTGCTTGAAAAACTAAACATTTTTCTGAAAATATGAATATACCCAAAAAGTGAAAATAGGGAAAGTGAAAGTAGGAAAAGTTATAGTGGGAAACTTGCAAAAGTTGGGAACATTGAAATGATATACGATAAATCCACCGAAAAAAAATAAATATGTTTCTTTTTCATTAAACGAAATAGGAGATGGGTTATATGGAAGTTGAAGATTTGGCTTCAAAAATTTGAAACGTTTTTTTTTCAGAAATCGAGTTCCTCTTACGTGAATTTTCAGCTGTCATACGAAACAAGGGATTTACATATGCTAACTCTAGCAAAATGGCTCAGATAAAATCCACTAAATTGGAAAAGGAATATCCTATTTTAGAGTGATGTCATGGTCCATTTGTTTTTTTTTCAATTCATTTCCGAAGGGCTCTAGATAAATTTTCTCTAGTTCAGGAAGCCAGTTGCTCTTTGACTCTTCTCAATCCTTTTTCTATTTCTGGAATAGCGAAAAATTTGTGCACGAGTCTCTTTATCACCTGACTCTCAAAATCTTTCTCACATATTCTATTCTTGGATTTTTTTTTTCGTAGGCTACAATAAGTATAAATCACCATTCATGATTTCATTATTCTGTGTCTCCTAATATTACACGATTTTAATTCAAACCCCCACAGGATCTTATTCTTATACAGCAGTTTTTTTCTCGTGACAGCTGAAAGGAGGCGGAGTCAATCAGGTGATAATCTCTACACATCTGATGATTCACCTGCCACGGGTATAAAAGCAACTCTTGTTTTATTTCTTTTTAGAGGCACCTTGTGCATGGAGCCTTCTAGTTTAATTATGATTTTTCTGAATATCAAATAATCCCCCTATCAAACTGAAAGACCCCTCCTGCTTGGAGGTCCGCATTTCCTTTGTTCTATCATCTGACTTATTTGGAATTCTATATATTTTTCAATCAAAAAGTATTTATTTTTGTAAGTTTCAAAAATCTACATAAAATAGAAATCATATGATTGCTTTTCAGAAAGAATAACATATCAAGTCCAACGTGTGCGCAGAAAAGCTACAGATGATTTCAGCTGCACTCCGAAGAAATTTATTTATTTGTAATACAGTTTCGTTTATAATTTGTTACATTTTTCTATTATTCTCTCTATTTACAATTTCATATCTCAGTTAGATAGTTCATTGAATTGTTTTTGTTTTTGCTTAAATTCATACCAATGCATTCTGCCGCAACAAATGCTATGATGTTTTTGTTTTTGTTTTGTCTTTGCATTGTGAAGTTTATTAAAATGTTCCCAATAAAACTTTCCTTCGAAGTTTTGCTCTATGACACGTCGGAAAAAATGGATGGATTTCCTAGAAAGCGATGTAATAATCCCTTGTCAGAGGAAATTTGTTGTTTGATGCATTCTTAAGTCATTTCCTTTTCAGACAAACTTTCAATTGAATCAAAACTGTACTAAACTCTGAATACAAGTACCGTATTTTCTCTGATAGAAGCTCACCTCCAATAAAAGCCACTAAGTCCAGACAATACGGCACAGTTCTGCAACGCCATTTGGGACTTCAAAAGAATTCAAGACTGTAGATAAGATCAGAACTGCACTGAAGGAACACTTGAATTCTCGACCAACTAACTTTTATCCTACAAAATACCAAAGGCAGTATCTATGAAATACCAAACGCTAGAAACATGTTGTGAGCAAGTATGGTTTATACTGTTAATCTTGGATTAAGCTTTTTTTGCCAATAAAACAAAGGGCAGCTACTTTCTTTCCAACTTATTTTTTTTGTAGTTTACTTACTGGGGAATGGTCAGAACTTATCTCGCGATCGGGACATACAAGTGGGTTTTCTGAAAAGAAGGGTACTCATTTATTCCAGAACAGACTGAGCAGCGCATTCAGATTGATTGAGAAAGTTTAACAGCGCTCGGATGAAGATTGTAAACTGCAGAAAGGAGTTGAAATCAAATTGGACAAGAACACGCATGTGTCTCTCCGGAAAAGGATCACTCTCACAGGATCTTTGAAAGAATAGAAGCACCTCAACCAATATACTTGGAACTGACAGCAACCCATCTCTTGTCCAAAACGGTTATGGACCTTGACATTGAATGCTTGTCAGATCTTCAAATGTACCGTGGCACTGTTTCGTTATTATTAACGACATCGGTAGGAAATTATTAACGACAAAACAAGAATATTAACGACATCGGTAGGAAAAAATATTAACGACATCGGTAGGAAATGGCATTTAAGGAGATCTGTGGTATGGAATATCCAATTGTTATCCTCATCCTTTGTCCGAAGAAGCTTTGGGACAATCATTGTGAACGTCTCATCAATCTGTCATTACCAATCTGACTAACAGTTAAGAAGTTTGAAATCGACGTAATTTTCAATTCCGATACAGTATAGAGATTGTTCAACTACGTGAAGCACCAATTTCTCTCTCAGTTCAGATTATTCATTTCACTCGTGGATTGTCATCGAGGTTTCTTGTTCCACACAGTTGATGTATCTTCTGTTCAAAAAACTTGTTTTCAATTAAGGATGTGTTCGCCCCCTTTCGATTTCTCGGTAAATGCCTTCACCATTGGGATTTTACGTAGACGTAGACGCCGTTGTTATTGATGAGTCGCTCGCTTGTTTTTAAGAAACCGAAGACGTTTTTCGAGTGAGCTACTAGTGTCACGGAACAGATTGATTTCCTAGGTTCTGATTTTCAGACAAGAATTCGGCAGGACGCAGGGTTGATTATGAGGCAGAAACTAAAAATTGTTCGAAAATCGGAAAATTTGAAAGACGATGATGTGGAAATGCTGAATCAGATCAGATTGTGTCTAGAAATTGAATTACGCTTTTATTCCAGAAACCGTATTGAATAATCACATTTTTTTTGTGAATTTTGAAGTGATGCATCTGGCTCTGAACGTATAGTGTACAAATTGTCTTTGTGACATATTTAGAATACTTTTTTGTGGAATACTTTGATCCCGAATAAAAAAAAACAACAAGTAAAAACTAAAAATTGGCTTTGGCTCAACCAATTTTTGATAAGACACTTTTTTCACAATTCCTGATAAAATAACCACCTAATTTCAGATCTATTCAATTTTGGGAAATCAATCAATCCAGAAACCATGCAGTTCTGAATTTTTTGATCCTAGAGCTCTTCAAATTCTGTTTCCAAAGTTTGGGCTTGAATTCATACCGTAAAGGAAGTGATAATAGGCCTTTCTAACTCTTAACTTTGAGCCGATTTATCTCTAGTTCCGTCAAAGATATATGAAGAATGCCAACTGATAAAATATTTGTCATGATATCACAAACATTGTATTAGTTGACACAAGTTTTGATATATTTGATAGAAACAGAGAAAAATCAGCTTTAACTTCACAGGTGCTCTCCTTTACCACTTTTTCGGTATTTTTTACAGATTGCTGCACAGATCCCTTATTTTAATTTAATTTTGTTTTCAAATATGGCTTATCTTATGCTCTGACAAGTGAGTATCACATAATGATTCAGTATCACATGACACTTGTTTTTACAGTCTAGAACAATATCTTATTGTTCCGCCCCTTTGAAAATCTATAGGGACTGTTGATCGCGACTATAAAAAGCGAAAAAAAAATCAGAGAACCATACTCGGCTAATTTTTTATTGGTTTTTTTTCCCTTTGTCAACATTTCGGTTTGACGGTTTTTAGAATTTCATTTTATTTTCTCTTAATTTAGTGGAATATGCCACCAATTGGTGTTTACACTGGCCAAATGTATGCGAATGCCGACATTCCAGAACCATTCAGTCTCTGTGAGTCCTAATAGATTTTACATTCATCTTTGGTCCTTTGAATGATGTCAAAAAAGTTTTCAACTGATAATCTGTTTTTGATATTATGATGAACAATTTATTTAGTAGACAACTTTTTGGTATCTCTCATAGGAACAGCGGTAAATTGTCTCAAAGTTAAATGTTAGCGACCCTCCTTTTACTGATTTTACGTTAATTAGGATTTGGAAACAATTCGGGTTTAAATATTATGTCTTCAGTTATTCCCGATTTCAGGCCCTCACAGTCGCAAATGCGTGAAAGGTGTAGCTATAGCTGCTGGCGCCACTATCGTTTTTTTCCTCTGCGTCGGAGTTGGAATCATCATTCACTATAATTTTTACTGAATTTAATGAGGCTTTTCCGTCATCTCTGCTTTAAGCATATAATTTTTGCAACAGATGTGTTATGCATGAAAGCCCAGCAATATCCCCTCTTTTTTCCTGTACCATCTTTCCCAGTTCCTGTTATACATATAGTTAGATGGTAGACAGATCATGCTGAATTATTTTACACAGCTTCATGTCTCCGTATGTACTTAATACTTTTTTCTCAAATACTTCGTTTGCTTTCTTGAATAAAATTTTTTTTAACACAATATATAAATATATTTTCTTTTTTTTTTGTTTATTTTGCAGAACTTCCGGAAGTAAACGGCGTTTTTAGAAATTCAGGAAAAACCCAAAAACTCCGTTTTTTGTGAAACTGTGTATTATATATTTTTAACGTTTATTGTTGTTTCTGTAATCTTTACACTCAACTGAGGATGAATATTTTTAAAAAATGAACGGAAACATCTGAACGACCCGAAAAATCATATTCTTAGGTGTGTTAGCCTTTCACATATCCTCAAGCTCTGGTCTCAACCACACCGGTTCAGGTATTGGTAACACTCTTCCAATATCCTCCATGTACCACGGCTCCGCTTTAATATCTTGGATTGTCAGACGATCTTGAGGTGTGTGACTCAGAACGTCGCGCAGGAATACTGGAAATAAAATTTTAAAATAGATAATATGTTGTTTGAACTGACAAATCACTTTGCCATCTAATTGGCTCCATGCAGATGATCCAATGTTGAAGTTCATGAAATTCATATATCTCGTGCATCTGAAAAATTATGAAAAAATATATTGAAAGACATGAAAATTGATTTCATCAACATTCAATGGTTTGAATTTAATAGAAAGGTTGCAGGTCTTAAGAACAGATGATTTTTTCTGAAAGGAAAAGGCTTTAAAACAAGAAACCCTCTAAATTATTCAAATTTTTGGTTATACATATCCTAAGCAAGGTCGTTACTCAGACATTATAGTATAATTTTGTCTAACCAGGGAAGGTTGTAATCGGTGGGTGGAACTTCGGTATCATTCAAAAGCTGAGAATGAGAGATTTTCAAATCTATGTTCAGACAGATTTTGCTAAAAAGCTAACAGCTTCGAGAAAATCAAGTTTCAAATTTGGCTCAAAGTTGAGTCTACCGAGCGCCGCGTCTCCTCCCCTTTCTTATATATGTAGATTGGGGAGCGTGGAGAAAGCAGCGAGAAGTGGTGTAGTGGCGAAAAGGGAGGACGGTATCTGACTAGGTGTCCTCTCTCCCAAATTTTCATAGTTGCAAAAGGCCGGGCCAGGCCGGGCCGGTTGACGAATTTTCTCGGCCCGGCCCAGCCCGGTCCGCCTAACACAGAAAATTTCCAATGGAAAATTTGGGAATTTTTTGACTTAAAAAAGGAAAAATGATACATTTAACAGAGCAGAATGTAGGCAATAAATAGGAACTTTTTCTTAAAATTTTTGAAAAAAATTCAGCGTCTGTACATACACCGGGCCGGCACTTTATCGGCACGGCCCAGCCCTGCCCGAATTTTGCAACTATGCTAATTTTTTTCATTCGATTATTAATCGAAAAAAGGAAATTCGAGAGCACAACACAATTGAAAGCTTAAACTACCGTATTCCCTCTATTAGAAACACTCATATCATCTAGTTTGAGCTCAATTATCTCGATTTCTGTGTGAGATATGGAAAACTTGTCAATTAAAGAATTGTCAAGCATAATATCACCAACGTTTTATCAGTTAACAAGGTAGTTGAAATCTTTCACAAAAATCAAATCAATCATCTCAAAAATGACGGAGTGGGTTGGCATCTTTTGGTGAAGAATCATCATGGGCGGGAAAAGAAAATTTGTGAAGGGTTTATAGGTCGAGAGTTATCTTGAAAAAACCCAGGCGAGTCACTGAAGGTTTGCACAATCCCATGGTGCTGTTCCGGTTACAGTGCAAACAGAACTATTCGTGTTGAGCAACGGTCCGTTGGTGTGCGTGCGACTCTCAGATTGTTCGTACTCCACACTTCTGGTGCAGAAGCAAACTGTGATCCAACCCTGTTCCTGAGAAGGATTTGGTTTCCCTGGGCATCCATATAATAATCGGACAATCCGAAGTCACCGATTTTTAGGCAATCTGAAAAAGAATGAAACAATTCTGAATTTTAATTTCAATAGAATTCTGAACTAACCTCGACCATCCAGAAAAAGATTGGCTGGTTTGATATCTCGATGGCAAATTCTTTTGGAATGTATAAACTCCAATCCTCGGATTAATTGTCGGTAGAAGTACTGCGCTTTTGTGAGTGACAACGATACTTGTGCCTCAATTCTCTGCTGGAGATCTTCTTGGATTAAATATTCCATCAAAAACATTGCAACGTTTCCGACTTCATGCATTTCAAACATTTCAACGATATGCTTGCACTCCTTCCTCTCGCTCAAAAACTTTTGCACTTCATACTCCTTCATATAATTGTTCACTTTGTTCACAGTTTTCATCACTACGATGGGTTCCTTCTCATTGGCTGTGTCTTTTTTGACAAGAGAAGGGACTCCGAATCCGCCTCGATGCAAATTCATGATCCATATGTACCCGACTATTTGAGCTGTTTCGTAGCTTGTCATCTGAAAGTCTAATTTTTTTCACAAAAAAAGAGAAGATTATTACAAAGCAGATAAAAATGTGATAACGCAAATTTTATTTCTTTTATGAAGTAACAAAATTCATTTAATAAAAAATTGTTCGGTCTAGTCAAGCTACCCTTTTTTTGAAAAAGGTTATGATCCTTTATATTTATATTTTTGTTATAAAATTTCACGTTGGCTTTCAGTTTTTCTAGTACCCATGATTTTTGAAAAAAGTTCCAAAGTTAGAAACGCTATAATGGAAGGTCACCATGTGTTTGCATTTTGAACTCAATTATCTTTTTCCCTTAAAAAGCATCGAAAATTAGTGAACTAATAAAATATTGGTGATATTATGACTAATATTTCATCGGTTGATACCTTTTTTATATTTTTCACAGGAAATG